TATTGATAATAATAATAATAATAACAATACTTTGGAAACGCGGCGGCGAACTCTGGTGTTGTTGCAGTAGTTTCCTCCGGTTGTGTAGCCCCAGTCGTGGGTCACTTCTCCCTCTTCGTCACCAACTACATGTGGTGGGACGGTTGGGGCCTCGGTGGTACTGTTGGCGCCATCCGTGTGATTCTGCTCGACACGGAACCGCTTCCAGCCTTCAGAACGGAAGGTCTCCGTCTGGTTGTCAGGAACTTGGGCATTCTGTGCGTGGCCTGCCGGAGGAGTCATACCAACGGGTACCTGCAATGGAGTACGTATACAAAGTGTCAGAGAGTGTATACTACAATAATAATTGCAAAATTATGCCCGAAGGCCAATTCCAAACAAAGGAAAGCAAACACTCTATGGTTTTCTCTAAAATGTTCTGTGCATATCTTGAAGATATTGACTTAATGATAGTTATTTATAAGTTTTTCTGACTTCTAAATGCCGTGTACGTTTGCACACATTTAGTTTGCGTTTTTTTTTAAAGAAAATACAATTTGCAACATCTGAATCTTTTTTTACTGAAAGGTACTCGTATTTTGTTATGTATTACTGACGGTGTCTATAATTGAATGAACAACAACCTTCATTTTGTGTGATTAAAAAATGCTTCCAAGGAAACTTTCACGTTTCCCTACAAAAGCAGACAAAATGTATGACCTGTTTATAACAATTAAATCAAAATTGTTTTGAATCCTTACCATGGCATCTGGAGTCAGAGGGGCATCAGTGGAGGCCATGCCGTCCGGACCGTTGTGACTCTCAGTGTCGTTTTCAACAAAGTCACGCGGCTTCACCTGGACTCCTGTCCATCCGCTGTATAAGTACGGGGAGAGACCTTCTGAATCTCCGCCTCCTGCTTGGTCGTCTCCCTTGCTCCCGTACGGGGGAAGGTTGATGGTAGGCTTATTCTCACCAGTATTGGAGAGGGACTGTGTGGTCATAACCACAGCAGCAATCTAAGGGTGAAAAAGATTCATGGTCAGAATAAGGGCCTAGGCCTGTGTGGCTTTGAAGCTTTTGACTCGAAAATAACTCTGAATCACTTCTTTTGAGATGTCAAAAAGAATACGGCAGATTATATTTAGTATAAGAAATACAACAAAAGCCTAGAAGTATCATGTTCGTCATTTTATTGTTTACACATCTTACTGAAGGTAAACGTTGTTTAAAGCATGTCTAGTGATGTTGCCCCTACTCTACTTGAGTGGCAGCGAGTTCAACTCCACAGTAGTTCTAACTAGAGAAGAACGAGTTTTTGTACATCTAAATCCTTGAAAGAAGTCTACAGTGACTGCTTGGAAGCTCTAGGTGAGAACTATTTCTTGTGTTGAAACATGTTTTAGCTTTAAACACGTAACTACCAATTAACACAGTCACAGATAAACTTTCATGACCGAAATCATAATAAATTGTTTTGGAAGAAAACTTACCGAAGTCACAGCAACGAGTACCAACACGGTGATCGCGGCGGCTTTCAAGAACCGCACACGTCCACCCTTCTGGTCAGCATGGGTGTCTGAGGGAGGGCAGCGCGGGAAGGTTACCGCCCGGGACCGCGGTCGGAACCGCCGGGACCTTCGCCGGCCACGTCGTCTCGACATATTGTCACAAATCTGAACTAAGGACAGGAGCAGCTAAAATGTACGTCCGTCGCCTCGAACAGCCAACTGGTAACTGTAAACAGTTTTCGTCGAACGCCGTTGCTTGTCTGGAACACCGGGAGTTTTTACGTTCTGGAACAACTTTTCGAACAGCGGATTGGTGTCCTTAGTTGAACTTTAGTGTAGCGCATCACATTGTCCTTTGACTGTTCTTAATAGTAGGAAGGCACAACCGTACGCCTCGGAACGCCAGACGTAGTGCATTTTAACACCAGTCGTGTAGAAAATGTTAATTTTGTATTAGAGTGTTCGATACTTATTATGTTGACCACCGTTGGAACATGGATGCTGTGTATAGCAGCATCACATCTCACTGCATCAAAGTAAGAAACAAAGCATTGAATCAGAGCCTTTTCTTGTCTCCTCTCTTCATAGTTATCTGCCATCCACCTTCCGGTATGGCAACAGACATCTTTGGCCATTTTCGCCATGTTGACCACTGTCAGGAGGCAACAAAATTTCTTGTTTTTTCCCCCAAATCAGGCGAAAATTAATGCGCGCGCTTATGTCATCCATAAATATTACTTGCTGTGGCCTTACGATGGTATATCTGTAATGTTCAATGAAAGCAGCACAAAGAATATCGAAGTATATCTCTAGAGACAGGCATTTAAAAACAATGTTTTATTGTTATGTATGAGTCGAAAGCACAGAGTCACAGTCTCCTACCTTCGCCAAATGATGTTCACCCCTACGACAACTAACGACCTATAGATGTTTCTCGTTGATTATGCAAATGAGATCCTCATTTTGCAGACCTGGACTTCGTGAGTTGAACGACAGGTGGCGCTTTTCTACAAGATATAGCCAAGTGGGCGTTGGATCAAAAGTTTGCGCCTAGGATCCTATGCTTAGTCCACTTGGCCACCACTCTTTCATGTCTTTTGTTTGACAGTCGGCAAAGTTATACTGACCCCATTTGGCCAATTTCAGCTGTGATTACAGCAGTGCTACTGGTATGGAGGGAGATAGTACGCGTACGGTTTGCGACGGACAGGCAAAAACAAGTCAAGTCAAGTCAAAGTTTTATATTGCACACCAAGGTACAGTGTATGGCAGATAATAAGATTACTAGCTATACCGGTATGGGACTAGCAAAAATTCTACATATAGGCTGCGCGGGCACTATGTCTGGCAGAATGTTCAATAGAACTACTGACTTAAATCTAGTACACCTCTACAACTAAGTCATGCTACATACTATATTTATACTATATGTAAATTATAGAGGGTACAATGAGCAGTTGTATATATACTATATAGACTTTACAAGTACTATACTTCACAGAGTGTCTACTAAATTACTGGCTAATATCTGTTATAATGTTTATTGCTATCAAATTATGGATAGGGCTTCGATTATTTATGGGACTTGGAAAACCTATGTCGTTTTGCCGCACTCTACATGTTTACACAACGCCCTCTTGCGATCGGCTAGTACTCTTCAGTTTTCGGGGTGACTTCGCAACAGCTTTGTATCTGTATCTGTATCTGTATAGCCGGTATAACCGCACTTCGACATAACACATGCACCAGCTTCGCAGGCACGCGGCGCGTCGGCAGCTTGCTATATTACACCAAACGATCTTTGCACTTTTAATTGTAAGAGTTGTAATAAAGCTGATGATGCCCCAACCGTGCTTAGCTTGGTGACAACGACAATTCTTGGAAAATACCTACGCGTGGTTTTGAACTCCTCAATTCTTGGTTGATACAGTAACTTTATATTTGAAGACATGACTGTTTCTTGTTCTTTTCTGGGCTGGTATTAGACACTTTGGTAGGACTTACAACCGTTTTAGTTTCGCACGAAAACATGTTTTGATAGGATAATGTCGGACAAAGGGATTCGTCTTCCATTCTAATAGTCTAGCCTTAAGCTAAACGTACACCACACAAAAGCGGTGACAGTTGAAACAATTTGTAAAGATTGATCACACTCTCGGGACAATCATCTGTCACCCAGGCCGACCGTCACTGTCCACCTCCCCCGGCTACAACTGGTACCTACTTTCTTAAGATTTCTCTACGCAGATACGATATTTAGAAAAACATACAATAGAGACAAAAAACAGAGAAATAAAAAACATGTTACAAGAACTTTAGAGTCTAAAATCTAGGTTGAGTTTGATAAATGGCTGGATAAATGGCTTAGACCAATTGGTACGGCTCTAAGTGGGCCCCTAGGCAAAAAAAAGTCGAACAAAAGTTTTGCACCGAAGTCATCAGTTTTGCACACCTGAAACACACTAGCTAAGGATTCATTCCCACTAGGATAAAATTGTCCGGATCGAGCCGGTTTGATTCGCTTGGATCCGGCTTCGGACCGGATAGAGCCAGATCGGAGCCGGATCGAAGCAAATCAATTCGACTCGATCCGGACAATTTTATCCAAGTGGGAAAAGGACCTTACTTACATTACATCAAAATACATACATGTAATTTAATATGTTGCATTAAATACGTAAATGATATATCAAAATACGTAAATGAATATGTGGACAAACAAATGTTTGAAGATTTATTAATGATATTTGGACGTAGAAGATACAGCTTTGTCAGATGTCAGAAATACGCCTTGTTTCTGGGCATTTTTTTTCTTTAGAATACACTGATATTCATATCATCATAACATCATAATGAAACACATTTTCATAGATATGCCATAATAATCATACTAGCAAATATTGTATCAATGCCGAACACTTCGCGCACGTTACGATTTTTCTGAGAAAAAGTTAAAACTTATGATGTCAGAATTTTCGTGTCATCACACATGTCAATCACTTGGTGACACAGAATAGAGGGAGGAGTCACCTTTGTGACACAGGGCAGTTCTTCCACCTTTATGCGGATCGGGTTGAGGTCGTCAAATCTTTTCCACTACATTAGGCCATGTTGATTTGATTATTTGGATGACATCCACGCGCGCATGAATTTTCGACCGTTTCCAAAAAAAGTTTTCGACCATACTTTAAATCGTACGAAATGAGAGAATATATGTCGTATGTTGCAAAGAAAAGTATTGGAAAACGATACTAATGTCATAGAATGCCGAGATCAATAGAGGAAATGTGTGAAAAAATGAAAATGAAGAGTACTAGTCTATTAATTATTATATTATTCGACAAAACATAATCGGTGTGTTTAGTCATTTGTTCAACCTTAATGACCACGTAGATTTCACAATGAAGGATTTTTTTTTTCCCAAACTTTTTTAATCGCACGCTCGCGTCAGTTTTGGGGTTCCCAGAGGATGTCATCCATATAATCAAATCATCATGGCCTCATCACATGCAATATCCCGGGGGTCTTTGAGCTATTTTTGAACAGATGTGCAGCTAGCTGAATTTTACTACCCGCACTTTGACCTACGTTTGGGTGAAGTCTGTGTGGGACCAACTGACGAGGCCATCCGCCAACACCTGAAGTAAGGATCACACATGGCGTCCGCGCAAACATCTGAGATTTAAAACCCACTTGCTACCGCAGGTGGCTTGAGGCCGAAGCAGTCCCCATGTACGTTGAGAGCTGAGGCACAGAAAGTTGGACCAGCTACCGGCGTACTGTAAAAATGAAGCGGGACGGTAACATTGAAAGTCCGCCGAATGGTGGGTACGGCTGGGTGGTGTGTTTCGCGGCGTTTTGGACCTCAGGTGTGGTTTTCGGCATCCAGAACAATTTCTCGGTGACGTACGTCGCTATTCTGGACTCCTTTCCCGGTGCCGACGCCTTCCGTACAGGTGAGAAAATGATATTTGACATTTATGTTGGAATAAGGCAAAATGTGTGTTGCATGCACATTTTTATTGATTTTTTTCGTCGTTTTAATACCGGCCTGAGTCTTCATTTTGTGACAACTTCACAGTCGTGTGGCGTAACGACAGAGACATCGACAGAGCGTTCGGCTCGGAACCAGAAGGTCCCGAGTTCGAATCCTGTCATGCCACCGATCTTGTGCCCTTGGGAAAGCCACATAACACGAATTTCCTCACTTAACTCAGGTGAAAATGAGTATGTCTGTTGTCCGTTTATGCGTTGGTGGCGGCATAAAAATAAGTCGAAAAAAAACTTGTGTGCCGTCACCCACCATGTCTTAGCATACTGCAATTTAATCATCAATTTCACGGTCACAGCCACAATCGTTTATACGGTTTCGACAGACGTTTGTACATGGTCTAAAAACCGTAGAGATTTCATTTCAATTGGAGCTACTGTAACTCAAATATTGGAATGATGCAACTCTTGTAACTATATGATTTATTTCCTGTCCTTGTTGTCAAGTAGTCTCAGTACTACACTAACTACCCTGGCTATATATACGGAGAAAATATGCCAGGAGAGTTTGGCCGCCTTTGGGTTTGACTGGCCGCGGAGGGAAAGAAGCAACCTTCCGCGGCCGGACTCCCCTGGTCAAGTTTACTCTCCTTTTTTGCCGAATTCTACGATTTGTATTCCCGTAGAAAGGCCTGGTGGAGTAGCCTCCATAGCATGCCAAAAACTGGGGGTCTTCAGGGTCTTTGGGAGCTTTTATGTGCTATTTTCTGATTGCATATTGACAACATATCCGGCCTGGTTGAATTACCCACGTTTTTTCAGAACTGGGCTAATCAGAAAACAGCAAAAGACCACCAAACCCCCAGTTCTATAAGCCTGCTACGGAGGCTATAGTGGAGGCTAGTTGTCTATAACGTGCCCTCAGGTATCAGTTTAAATTGACGAAACGCTCCAGTACACATGTTTATCTGCCTGGAGTTAAACAATAGCTGGTGAGACCAGAAGTAGGATGAAGTCAGCAATGTATCATGTTGAAGAGCCGTGTTTAAACTGTCGTTTGTTTGTGTAATTTGTTTTCTAATGTGGCCGTAGAATTTTTACTACCTGTGAAGTGGTAACATTCTAGATGCCTATAAGCTAGTATTAGTGCGCTGTGTGTGGCACTAGAATAGAGCACCTGTTACAGTTCTTATATACTGGACTCGAAATACTACCTGCATATGCAGATTAGTACAGATAAAATCGGAGCTGTACAGGATCTCTTTTGTCTACCTGTCTACCGATAATTTTAGTTGTTACCACCTGTGAGATGCTAACTAAAGACTTAAGTTATAAAGACTTTACTATGGTTTCTTAACTGTTTGCAGTTTGATACATACTTCATCAAATCTATTTTTCATGCAGAGCAACTTCAGGTAAAATTTGTCCCTTGCACCAATATTACAATGCTACCTGAAAATATTATGATAACCAGTAGTATGATACTGAGGACTTCTTAATTAATGCAGTTTGAATTCGGCACTCTCTGTGATGTAAATTTGGTTGTGAGTTTCAATGTTGTTTCGCCGTCATTGTGCAAAAGTGTTGAGTCGTCATTCCGCAGTCTTCATTCATTCGTTGAAATTGAGAAAAGAGATACTTTTTCGACAACTAGTAGTATCATATTTACGGATTCGTAAAGGAAGCGTAAAGGTATGGATTATATCTACGTCGTACTTAAGCGCACTGAAAGGTTACGGAAAGGCGGAATTTGCCTTTCAGCGGCCTTTACGAAGTCGTAAAGTCTACTGAAATGTTTTCCCACCTTTAATGATTCTTTACATATTGCTGAAAGTTTGCCTAAATATCGGTTTTCGTGCTGTGAGCAATGCGACTATCTCCACACCCCCTAACCCTCCCTTGTACCACCCAACACACACCCCCTAATAACCAATTCCTGACTTAGCACAAAACTAATTTGGTAGCCCCGACACAAGCCGTTAATATGTCAAACGACAAGGCTCTCTCTAACCTGAAGGGTTATATTGACCACAATTATTTAAACTCGACGAAAGGTCGTAGCCGCAGGCATGCAGGTGTGTTTGTTCTTCCCCACATTGTCAACATTTGTGGTTGGTTTAATAAAACCGCAGTCACTGCTTCAGGTGTTAGATAGGGTGGGCGAGTGATGCACAGGCACGTAACACAGAAAGTCTCGAACCACCAGACTCACGACGCGGGCTCGAAAACTAAAATTTAGCAAAATAGGGAGGGTATTTGACCACGGGGTTTAGCCAAGAGTTCATTTGAGTGTAGCCTCCGTAGCAGGCTAATAGAACTGTGGGTTTGGTGGTCTTCGGCTGTTTTCTGATTAGCCCAGTAAACGGGGGTGATTCAACCAGGCCGGCTATGTTGTCTATATGCAATCAGAAAATAGCACATAAAATATCCCAAAGACCCTGAAGACCCCCAGTTTTTGGCATGCTATGGAGGCTAATTTGAGGGGGAAATTAACCCTCTCGCAACGAATTATTTTCTCTTCTTTTTTTGCCGAATTCTAAGATCGGTACCCCCGTAGGAAAGCCTGTGGGTTGAGGCTATGACACCGACATGTGGAGGTGTTCACGTAGGTGTCTAGACTGTCGTCTAAAATTGCTGATGACGAAGCACAGAAATTCCGATCTTATGAATTTTGCTTAAACAGGCATCCAAAGCAATTTCAGGGCAACAAAACGGGATTTTCAAAGTCAATTTTCTGGTCATTCTTTTCTGAAAATGTAGTGAGTTGAATATCTGTGAGGCAAAATTTAAAACGCGACGTCGCTGACAAAAAACGGTTGCTTGTTTTGTACCCTAGGTAGGTTCTAGTCATTTATTGGCGGTACGATCTAAAAAAAATGACGCCTCGCGTAGCCTTATTTTGGGTGTTTTTGGGTGGTCTGTTTCAAACGCTTTAAGAAAGAAATGATGGCGAAAATGTACTTAGTAAGTGGCAGTAAAATCACTGTAAATGTCACCATCAGACCGATTTCCTCAACTGAAATATTTGCTTTTAAGTTTGCCGCCCTGGAATTGCATTGTATTTATCAAGTTAGGACTCAACAAAAAGATACATTTTATGTCGGCAGTTCCTGCACTCTTATCTCACAACTTGCATGTGTTTGTGTGTATTTTCAAATATTAGCATGGCACACACAAGGTACAGGTATTGCAAATACCAAATACAATGGACAGTAGACGACAACCTGTTGTCAATGCAAACAAAAAAGTACGATTTGATTGCTATTTGAAATCTTTTTAGAACTGTTATTAGTGTAGTTACTAGTACCTTGTATACCTAGCAGAATTTCTAAGTGTTGTGTGTAATATAGCTGACTTTGTCAATTTATTGATGGATATTACGAGGCGCTGTCACTATGCCCATGTTTATTTGTTGTTCATCCTTTATTCACCACCACAGCCTGGATTGGTTCTCTCAACTGGGGCCTGCAGCACCTGTGTAGTCCGCTAGCCGGCATTCTTGTGGACAAGATAGGGTGCCGGAAGACGTCTGCTCTGGGCGCTGTGCTGATCTTCACGGGCCTCATGACGAGTTCCTTCGCCTCTCGTCTGGAGATTCTCTACGTCACCTTCGGTAATCTTATTAACAGAATCAGCAATTCATTTTAGTAGCAAGCTTGTACTTACTAGTACAATGTGAAAGAAAACAAAGTAAAGCAAACATACAACTACTGTCTGAACTGAACTGTCTCAACTTATATACTACTACAAAATGTACTACGCAGTGGATAAATGATAATAACGTAATTGCCCCGCCTTATCCTCGGTGTATATGGTGGGATAATCCCGTTGCACTCGCTTCGCTCACTCGGTGGTTTATTCGGTGGATATTACACCTCACCATATACACTACGTTTTCGTAATAAGTGCGTTTTGTGATCTTAGTGAGTCTTTTGGTTAGCCTTTTCTAAATGGCGAAAGAGTGCGGAAATTGTGGCAACTGTTTGAAATAATCTGTTTGAAATTATCTGAGTACACTGACTGATAAAATGTGTTTCATTTACCACTACAGTTCATTGGAAAATCTCTCGTGTAAGCTTTGGTTATATTTATCCCATTTATTTAGTACCGAAAATTATTGTCTTAAAACGTGCTAACTACTTTTCCATGGGATAGCTATAGGTAGAAAATTCTCAGTCCCATTATACAACCATACGTTTACTACATGGTTCTCTATCAATTAGCACGTTTTTTACAGTCAAATACTTTTCAGTACTACTCGTAAATAAATGAGGAATATACTACTAACTAAATAAATGGGATAAATACATCAGTTCTTTCGTGTACAGGTATCATCACGGGTACAGGCATGGCCATTAGTAACGTGTCGGCTATCACTATATTGGGACACTACTTCACCACAAAGCTAGGACTAGTCAACGGGTTTGCGACTACGGGAAGTTGCGTCTTCACTGCAAGCCTACCTTACGTCTTAAACGCCCTACTACGTCAAGTCGGACTTTTCAACACCTTCCGATGCTTAAGTGTACTGGGAGCATCTCTACTGTTCTGTGCGTTGTCTTTCAAGACGATTCCTCATGATTTAGACTTACATAGCGATCCTGAGAGAAAAGTTAAACTGGATCTAGAAGACCACCAGGACGAAAAGATGCCTCTGCGATCTGTGGAGAACAGAGGACGATTCGTACACCGCGCGAAAAGCATCATGAACGTGCGAATATGGAAGAATAAAGCCTTCGTTGTATGGTGTGCTGGGTGCGCGTGCGCACTGACGACATACTACGTACCCCACGTCTTCATTGTAAGTCCATAACATCTTTTCTTATATCGTTTTCGTTTTGAAAGGGCGCAGTTTTAAAGAAACTTAATTATTTTTTCACAAGAATTAGAAAAAAAAGTCTTGTCTGTTATGATGAAAGTTCATCTATGTTGGTAGTTTCATGTTTAAAGTTAAAACTTTTAATCCAACACAAAGAATCTGGTAGACGATGTCGGCCCCCGTCGCGTCAGGACCCATCACCCTTCACTGAACCGCGACGGGGGCCGACATCGTCTACCAGATACCTTTGACCCAGTGTTGACGTCACACTTCAAAGAAGCCACGT